ATTTAACATTTATTCTTTTTAAGTTATAATGCCTAATTATGGCGAAATATGAGGACTTATACTTATTGTAACATCTATACACTTGCCACGTTTCTTGTAAAAAAAATAAATAAATAAAATAAAATAAACAAAATCGTCTAGTAGCGATTTTACTAAGTAACATTTACTTTACAATTTACTGACGAATACTTACATAAGTAATACTCTAGACAAAAAAAACGTTAATATAAAATAAATTCATCCAAATAGTTAACATTTTAAAGAGCGCATCAGTAATATAATCAGCGTTACGAATCCGGGTCGGCTATCTCCATTTCGGATGTGAAATTTGATTACGATAAAGACAGACCAAAAAAAAAACTTTTATTATATAAGTTTAATAAAAACGTTTTTTTCGTGAAACCTTCGCCTTGATTCGGCCGCAGCCACGGGCGAGCGTTACGAAAATTTATCGAGTACCCAGCTACGAGTGGGCAGCCACTAAACCACGCCACGAATATAAAAAAAATATCCAAATGGAATAGACACAGCCATGTATTTAATAATTAAAATTATGTTTGTGCGCTGAAAGATTACGTACTAAAGATTATCTCTTTAGTACGTAATCTTTGGTATATACCATAGATACCGATCCGATATAGGCACTTTCTCCCACGCAGAACCGCTCTTTGGAATCAACTTCCAGCAGCAGTATTTCCGAACCGATACAACAACATAACCTTCAAGAAAAGAGCATATTCCTTTTTAAAAGGCCGGCAGCACACGTGCAATGCCAGTGGTGTTGTGAGTGACCATGGGCGGCGATAGTCACTTATCATCAGGTGAGCCGCATGTTCGTTTGCCCCCTGTGTTATAAAAAAATCTATATTTTTTTTAATGGGTGAAAATGGAATGGTAACCCCGCTTGCGCTAAAGGGATACGCTGGCAGAGCACCAGTGAAGGGTGATAGATGAGAATGAAAACAGGTCAGTTAGCCCATCATGATGAATTCATCAGGAATTAACCATGATAGTTTCCAGGGGAACCGCGAGGAGGTCGACCTGGTTGGGTATATTGCTAGCAATAGGATTCTCAGTCTCCGCTACTAACAATCCCTTTCAGGTAGATATTGATGGTGGAAATAAAGTCATCATCTATTTTGTATCGTCCATATCGGTCGGATATTTGTTTTCGAATGTGTTAAAAGTCAGTTATACAATATTATTATTTGGATAATTATACAAAAAATCGTACGAAAAAGTTGATCCGTTTTTTTCTCGAAGCATCCGTATGGAGACTATCTATATAATCTAAGATAGAAGTAAATGTATATAGCCAAAGTACACGAGTGTCACTTCCAGCCAGCCCACTTGTTTTATACTGTGGCATCGTCAGTGAGTCGTGACGTAGCGTAAAAATTACGCATTGTTTACTAATACTAATGAAACCATTGTCTTCGAAACACTTTTACTATAATAATTATAGGGAAACATTATTATGTAAATATACCTCTTTAAAGATTTTATTCTACAAACACAAATCAAGATTCTGAAGTGATAATGCACTGTGTTATTGGATCTAATGGTAAATGACCAGAGGCAGACTTTGTACGAAAGTAGTTTGCTTGGGTACCTCTGTCCCATTCGTGTTTCCACAGCTGCAGTTGTGTTTGCATGGCTGTGTTTCGGTTTGAAGGGTGGGATATGGCATTAATTTACAGGGTACAGAGGAATAACACCTGAGTCCTCAGGAATGGCAACGTATGGGAGGTATCATTGGCGAAACAGTATACTCTATTATGTCCATGGGGTTGTATTGATGTCTATAGGCGACAGTTGCCACTTTCATTAGATCAGCCGTCAGCTTATTTTCTATTGTAAATTCCATAAAAATGATCATCATCATTATTTCAGCCATTATCTGTCCACTACAGTCTATATAGGCTTCCCCCATAGACTGCCATAAAGAACGACCCTAAGCCACCTGCATCCACTGACTCCCTGCAATGCTTTTAAGGTCGTCACTCCATCTAATGGAGGGTCATCATATACTCCATTGTAAAGAGGAAAGAAAGAAAACAGCGTAATCCTTTTTAAAAGTTCGACAACACACCTGCAATTCCTCAGATGTTGCAGACGTCTGTGGGTGACGGTAATCACTTATCATCAGGTTCGCTTTTTTTTTTATTTATTTTTTTATGTAAATAACTTTATTGAACAAAATAAAATAAGGTACAAAAGGCGGGCTTGATGCTAGTAGCATTCTCTACCCATCAACTTTTGGGATGAACAGAAAATCACAAACGCGAAAATCACAAATACTACATTATTAAAGTTAACCCCATATCTTAGGGGGGAAAAGGGTTGTTAGTAATGGAGACTGAGAATTCTATGGCTAGCAATATACCCAACCAGGTCGACCTCCTCGCAGTTCTCCCTGGAAACTGTCATGGTTAATTCCTGATGAATTCATCATGATGGGCTAACTGGCCTGTTTTCATTCTCATCTATCACCCTTCACTGGTGCTCCGCCAGCGTATCCCGTTAGCGCAGGCGGGGTCACCCATCAAAAAAATCTTTTACAAAAATACCATTTTCACCCATCAAAAAAATCTTTTACAAAAATCCTAAGTGGATCCATATCATTATAAGCCTAAATTGAAAATCAGGTAAGTGACGCCCTTTGCTGTCAAGAGTTTCTAGGCTACTTCGTTGTATACTACCGTATTATTAATTACTTATTGAAATAAGACAGTTGCAAGGTTATGTTACTTACATAATCTTATATGTATGTATATATTTGTCGCAATAGTAATCTACAAGTGGAACGCGGGCAATGAGCAATGAACTTGTTCAAGTCACACCCCACCACGCCCTGAAGCTCCACAGGTCGACCTTCGCTATGACCTGTAAAATACATACATATACATATATATATACCTATACCCAATTGTATGTAATGCCAGTCTAAACAAGTGTGGTGATTTTTTTTATACCACTGAGGTAGCAAGCAAGCATACGGCCCACCTGATGGTAAAAAAAAAAAAAAAAAAAAAAAAAAAAAAAAGTGGTTACCGTAGCATATGAACACCTGCAATACCAGAGGTATTACGCGTGCGTTGCCGACCCTGAAAAACCTCTTTACCCCCCTTTTGAAGATTACCTATATATCAAAAATAATGACCTTTAAGAAGAGATTTAAAACTTCTCCTCATCATTAGCATATCACCTTTTACTGCCAACTCCTGAACATAAGCTCCCTTGGGAAGTTTCGCCAGTAGTTGCCACACTTGGTCGGCGGATTGGCCACCGCAGTTAGGCTTGGTGTAGTTTTAAAAGAGACGTTACTACTCATCCCCTGCCCTCCCTTATCCGCCTCTTACGACACCCATGAGAAAGGAAGGGGTGGCCTATTCTATGTCGGGACTACACGGCCATGGATATACTCCTACCGTGGCGTAATAGGAAAATCAAGGGGGAAAGGGATTGTTAGTAACAGAGACTGAGAATCCCATTGCTAGCAATATACCCAACCAGGTCTACCTTCTCGCGGTTCCCCCTGGAAACTATCATGGTTAATTCCTGATGAATTCATCATGATGAGCTAACTGGTCTGTTTTCACTCTCATCGATCACCCTTCACTGGTGCTCCGCCAGCGTACCCCGTTAGCGCAGGCGGGGATACCATGCCATTTTCACGCATCAAAAAAAAATAGGAAAATCAAAGGTCTTAAGATCCTGAAACATCATCAGATGGCCTTCGTTATGACTTTTGAAAATATATGCAAACACTTCAATATTACAACTACATTGTGACAAACTGCCTATTTGTACAAATATAGCTCGGTAGATAATCCATAACTCAAAGAGCCTACCATTAAATTTTTCCCCCAAATTCGGGGACGATCGAAACACTTTGACGTTGAATTACATAATAGGTACATCTCGCTGGAGGTGTACGTATATATAGCAACAGCTGAGGCGGCTCCAGCAACCAGCAAAATGAATTGTTTTATTTTTTTCTTTTTTATTATTGTTTTTTTTTTTTACTATTATTGGTGGTAATAAAGACTCTATCTATAATACATACCATTTAAAAATATTAAAACTGTGAAAATATTATTCCTTCAGATTTTTTTTTTTATTTTTGGTAGAATTTATGACAAGTAAAATCCTAAACTTCATTTACTGGTCCGATTTCGGTATGAACGAAAACACGAAATTAAGTCAAAAAATTTGGAATTTCATTTCATGATCGACCTCCAGGTTTAATGATTATCAAAAGGACAATCAAAAACTTGTCAAGTAATAATAATTAAATGATTTTATTGCCTTTTTGTTTACAAATACGGTACAATAGTTATATACAAGATTAATAGAAAATATATTTATTTATTTATTTCATCGACTAAGTGAGCTATACAGTTTCCTAATACGCTCACCCAGGAAAGTATCAGTACAGTAACACATATGTAGATATATTTATAAATACATTGCGAAGTACCAGTATGGCTGGCAATAGATACAAATCCCACGCGGTTCCCCCTGAAAACCATCGTGGTTAATTCTCGTCGAATTCTTCACGATGCACCCACTGACCTGTCTTCATCCTCATCTATCATCTATCATTGGTGCCTCGCCAGAGTTACAATTCCATTATAATCCATTAAAAAAATAGGAACTTACTCAGCCTGGTGACCAACTCACCAGCCCCGAAACCGAAACAAATCTGTCAATAGATTCGTTTGTATTTAATCTAGGAAACTGATTTGATCACCTTTCGTTATTAACTGACACCTCGCCAGCGTATATGAAATACTAACACAGTTCTTTCGTAGCTCGACGTGACCCTCACTCACATTAGGAGTTGCGAATTTTAATACGTTTTAATTAAGTGTAAGCCGTCTGTTATAAAATACGAAATCCAACCAAAACGAGAGCAAAAGCTAGTTCAAAGATAAAAGTACACTTACCTCACGGCACTGTGACCCCGAATTCTCATCCTAGCCACAGTTCGTTGGGTAGCTGCGCGTACGCCGCACGCCGCACCGCCATCTATCGGTTTACGTTGCGTTCGATTTTTGTATTGACACATCGATTTTTTCAATTTCTATTTTGGTTTTTGTGTGTGTGACTGTACTTGGACGTGTCGAGGTGAGTTTTAATTGTTTTCTATAATTCTTAATATTAATTGCAAATAAACATGATTATTTCATAAGTAATTTTAAACAATTTAAATTAAAATATTCATAATTTAATTTACAGTTTAAAAAAATTCATTCTTTAAATTTAAAATGTAAATCTTATTTTAAAATAAAATAATAACTTAATTTATATTAAAATAAATTAAATAGGACAGCATTAAATGAATTATTACAAACTAATTAATTTAATATGAGTAATATCTGAGTCTGTAAAATTGTTCAAATAATTATCATTCAATCATACTTAAACAGCTGACTATAACATGGATAAATAATAAATATAATTAACCTATAATAATTTAAGATAAAAAGTATCCTATCCTATCCAGGATGTGATTTATCCATTAATCAAATATCATTCAAATCAGTTCAATATAAACTTTCAAATGTATAATGTTGGTCGGAGTCATACAACGATATTAAAACTAATAGTTGACCGTGCAAAATTACTGTTTTTTTCCATAATTATAAAGCTGACTTTTCATACATATATACATACATATGTATGTACATACAAACAGAACTATTACCTATTAAATTTTTTAAGTATATAGATCATTTATTCATAACTTACAAAATTAAGTCCATTTTCAATTAATTATATCATTCCCATTGCAAGTTTGTCATATTTTATTCTAATTTCGAGAACGTAGCGTTTTTTATTTAATAATCAATATTAAATAATTATTTTGTAAATATTCATTATTATTACAAAAATTACAACATTTAATTAAGAATATAATTTCACATGTTAATAACATTGACGTATAAATAAATAAAATAAATTATTTTATAATATTAAATTTTAAAATGTAATAATATTAAATAATTAATATTTATTTTAATTGTCAATTTTTATCAGTGATTCTATTATAGATAATACAATAATGACCTTAACGTCTCATTCAAGTTCCACTATTGACCGACATTCTTACTATGAATATTCTATGGTTATGCTTACTTCAAGTTTTCTTCTCATGTATTGATGTATAATCCTTATTTTCATCATCGTCTTTTCTGTTCTGGAGATAAGAAATTGTGGTGACACATTTCTGACTAAGAGACGTAGAAATATGGTGCTAGACGACGATTATCACTTTTTATCAGGTAGGCCATCAACTTGTTGGTTATTTCAAGTATCATAAAAGAAATTCTAAAATATTCTGTTATCAGTCACTTATGTGTAATATTATATAATAGTAAATATAAAAAATATATAATATTTAATTATAGATTCTTATTACTAATTTAATTTATAATTATAATTTAAATGAACACAATTCACTAGTGAAGTACTAAATGCAATTTTCCCCATTTTAAATTTAAAATAAACGTTCTAATTAATATAATTATTTAAATATTAAAATAAAACATATAAATATTAAATGATAATTATAAGTTTTATTTAAAATTTATCAGAGAAAAAAAATATGAATTGAATTCTAAATTCGAAATTTAAATAAACAATTTATTTTCCCAGAGAGCGTTACCCTGACCCAAATGACCCCAGTGAACGTAGACGAATCATGCGAATATTTTGCAAAACGTAGTTCACATAATTTGATACTTTATATCACAATAAAACCGACTTGAGTCGTGACATAATTAGAATGGAACCAACATGAGTATTATTGATATATTTAAAAATTTCTTACTAATGTTAAAATGAGTTTGTTTGTTACCTTATAGCGTTTTAACGGCTTAACCAGTTACTATGAAATTTGGTATACACATACTATATGGTACAGAGAAGAACATAAACTTATATATTTATATAATTTATATATTTTTCACTGTTACTTGACTTTACTCGCTTTTATTCGCAACATATCCTGATATATTCATTGACGATGATAAAAACTATCACAGAGAACTTATATATATAAATACATAATATTATTTATTTATTTCTTTAACTCTTTATTGCACCATAAATAAAAATATACAATGACAAGTGAATAATTCAAGTGAAATACAGTACCATAAATACAGATTGAAATATAGGTACACATAAAGGTACAAAAGGAGGTCTTATAGACTTACCTTTGGTTAAAGGAGAACAGATAGAAGTGGGTAGGTGGCGCAAGAGTGAATTAATAATTCTTCATGCATAAAATACAAAAACCTGTAATGCACAAAAAATCAAATACATATAATTTATATACACATAATATATATATATAAGTCTATGTTATTCTCTATGATAGTTTTTATCCCCATGAATAAAAATATCAGGATATGTACCGAATAAAAGCGGGTAAAGTCAGGTAAAAGGGAGATTATAAAAGAATGTTCAATAAGGTAGAATATTATCGACGTATCGGCAAATATCCCACTAATAATATGTCTATAGTTCGAAGCAGTTGTGTTTGCATGGCTGTGTTTCGGTTTGAAGGGTGGGATATGGTGTGAATTTACTGGGTACCGAGGAATAACACCTGAGTCCTCAGGAATGGCAACGCATGCAGGGTATCATGGGCGAAACAGTATACTCTGTTATGTCCATGGTACTGCTCATGTCTATAGGCGACGGTTACCACTTTCCATCAGGTGGGCCGTGAGCTTGCTTGCCATTCTAAGTTGTATACAAAAAAAGACAAAAAAAAAACATAAAATTCAGTAACATACTTATATATAGTATATAATACTACCATCTTAATTGTGGTTAAAAAGATTTTCGTTGTTTCACAAATAGTGATCTTTGAATGTATAACATGCTGATCGAGGGGGAAAGGGATTGTTAGTAATGGAGTCTGACCCATTGCTAGCAATACACCCTATCAGGTCGACCTCCACGCGGTTCCCCTGGAAACCATCGTAGTTAGTTCTAGTGGAATTCATCACGATGGGCAAACTGACCCGCTTTCATCGTCACCTGTCATCCTTCCCTTGTGTCTCGTCAGCGTATACCGATAGCGCAGACGAGCTTACCATACCATTATCACCCATTAAAAAACATGGTGATCGAAAAAGGCGGGAAATGTTAAACTTGTATATTTTGAAGAATGACTCTACAATTAAAATACTTGACGCTGATAGATATGGTAGTAAAAATAAAGACCGATTGCCATTGAAGGAAAGAAAAGAAAGAAGTTCAATACTGGCAACATAGAAATGCACGCGTTACCATGGTGACGGGAAATAACAAAAAAAGTTTATCAATTTAAAATGTAAAATATTGAACTATTCAGAATCCCGCTTTTTATTTATTACTAAATCGATTAAATAAACCAAGTAGATTCCTTTAGATCCTCTTTCAAGCATAATTACGTATACACACAAAAAATAAAAAAATAAAAAAAAACACTTTCTTGCTTTAGTAAAAAACTGTTTACTTCTTCTTCCATATTTTGCAAGCAAACGACTTTGTGCAAAAGTCGTTTGCTTAGACACCTCTGTCCCATTCGTGTTTCTACCGTGAAGCAGTTGTGTTTGCATGGCTGTGTTTCGGTTTGAAGGGTGGGATATGGCAGTGAATTTACTGGGTACAGAGGAATAACATCCGAGTCCTCAGGAATAACAACGCATGAAGAGTATCATGGGCGAAACAGTATACTCTGTTATGTCCATGGTACTGCTCATGTATATAGGCGACGGTTACCACTTTCCGTCAGGTGGGCCGTCAGCTTTTTTGCCATTCTAAGTTGCATAAAAAAAATTGCATTTATTTATTAAACTGTCCTGAATTTTTCATTACTAAGCTTTTAACACACAATGTTTGCAAGTCTCTCCGTTAATAATTTGCAATCTATTTATATTTACTTCAATTTGAAAATCACGATAAATGCAAGGATATGCAAAGCTATTTAATGACTATATATTTTTTTTAAATATTATTAATAATGTATGGAACTTATTGAGCGCCATCGCGCCTTGACCTCGCCAGTGCATTATGACGTCGTGTACCTTTCATTTTTTAGTTGTATACTCAAGCGCTTTGTTAAATTCACATAGTAGTTCCGCTCGATAATTGTTCTGGCCCATTCATGTGTCTAATATAGTTTTTATATTTTCAGTAAGTACAGATGGTCGCGTACGACTCGGTTTCAGATTTGTTTTCTCCCACGAACACTCAGAGGGCCTACCATGAAGTGTTTTCCGAAATTTCGGAGCCAAACGAAACACAAATTTGATGTTAAAATTGCATAATACATAATACATGCAGGAAATATTAAAAATGTTAAAATATTGTTTCTTTGGACTTTTATGATAGGATGTATGACGAACGAAATGTTGAATTCCATTTATTGGTCCGATTTTGGTATAAACAAAAACACGAAATTGAGTCCGAAATTTCGGAATTTCATTAGATGGTAGACCCGCAGGTTATGGAATGAGCTCCCTGCCGAGGTTTTCCCAAGAGACTACAGCATGGGGTTCTTCAAAAGGGGGGTAAAGAGGTTTCTTTAGGGTCGGCAACGTACGCGTAATACCTCTGGTATTGCAGGCGTTAATAGGCTACGGTAACCGCTTACCATCAGGTGGGCCGTATGCTTATTTGCCACCTCAGTGATATAAAAAAAAAGATACACGGCCAGTTCTAAAAATGTTTTACAATTCTTTTTATGAAATTGAGAGGGATTGCTTCTGTGTTGATCATAGATTAATTAGGCACATGTTTGACGTTCTAAATTTAAATATACATATATAAATCAACTACTAGTCCCGCTAAAATAAAAAAACGGATTTATCGATTTGATTTTTTTTTTTTTTTTTTGCTTTGTTCACTATAATACAGCGGTGCTTTAAAAGAAAAGTAAAAAATATCCTAAAGTTCAACTTACAAAATTAAAAATACATAATGTTGTTTGAGAATTGTTACTTAGGGTTACATTCAATAGATGGCGTTATATGTGATACGTAATTCAACTAATACCTATAATAGGACAGATTTTGAGATAGCATTTTTCTAAACGTTTCTAAAGTTGAAATTTTTCTTTATTTTCTTTT